ATTCCAGACCCCAGGCCAGTGAGAACTCCTGAAGATAAGTTGGATAAAACCCGCTATTGCGCGTACCATAAATCTCCGGGGCATAATACCGATGAGTGCCTCGGTCTCTTATCGGCACTCTTACGTTTAATCGGCCAACCTCAGCTTCAAAAGTTCCGAAATTTTGATAATCGCCGGAAAGGAAGACCTTTGGATTTTTCGGATGAAGAAGATGAAGATAACCGATCTGCCAGCCAGAAGAAAGCTCGTGTCAATGATAAAGAAGTTTTTACATTTTCCACTCATGTCGGGACGTCAACCAACAACCACAGGAAACCTAATGTACATGATTCTGCAGATTTTGTACGTAGCATACCCCGGGTTAATTCCAATAACAAACAGTCGGATATGTCCCGACGAAAGACTAAGGCTTATGCTCGGGAGGCTCAAAACGCCGAGAACCGAGTCATGAACGTCGATCTTAGGGATACGATCAATAAACGAAATTGCCCCATCACATTCAGCATTGAAGATGCCAATTTGTTTGCTCATCCTCATTCTGATGCTCTCGTCATAACTGCCCCAATTGGCGGAATCCCTGTTCATCGAATCCTAGTCGATACGGGAGCATATTCGAGTATCTTAATGCTCCGAACCTTCAAGAAGTTGGGCTTGGACCCAGCAGATATTAGGCCATGTAATGATCAGATTCAAGGTTTCAATGGGAGCGTCTCCTGCCCTGTTGGCGAAATATTGCTCCCTATCCGATTTGGAGGCTTTGGGCCGAAGTCCAAGATTATCATGGAAACCTTCAAAGTTTTGGATGTTCACAATGAATATAATGCTGTAATTGGACGAACCGCACTTTATAAACTTCGTGCTGCTGTCTCGATTTTTCATTATGCCTTGAAGTTTCCCACCATTGAAGGAGAGGGCGTTCATTATGGAGACCAACGGGAAGCCCGGAGTCTAACTCTGCTCTCAACCACACCTGACTTTCATATGATTGAAGAACGAGAAGTTAACACCTTTGTTGAGCCAAGTGATCCAACCCCTCGCACCAAGCAAGTCGATCAGTTCGCCTCGGATACCGACATGCCACAGGTGCCGACATCTGATACCGACATCCCCACGACGTCGGTGTCGTCTGAGATATCAACAGAAGTCCTAGGCCAGGAACAATCTCCCCATAAAAACGACACAGGGGAACACGAAGATATAGACCCGAGGATGCAGTTCAAAGACGGGAGTCATCATATTCGAGCGGAGCCTGTTGAAGATATTGAGATCATTTACGTGGACGGGTCAGAACAACAGAAGTCGTTGCGTATTGGGGCCAATCTACAGGAACCCCTTCGATCGAGTTTGATTCGATTCCTCCAGTCAAACACTGATGTATTCGCATGGAAACATGAAGACATGAAAGGGATCGACCCACAGAAGGCTTGTCATCGTCTCAATTTAGACAAAACTGTCAAGCCAATTATTCAGAAACGTCGGAAATTTGGTCCAGATCGCCAAAAGGCTCTTGAAGAAGAG